ACCACTGAGGAAGAGTATGCCACACAGTCAAAGTTACTTAAAGAGTTCATTAATATTCCCAGTATTGACAAAGCTTGGATTTTTAACTCTGGTTCTGGTAATCACTTTTGCTTATTCAAGTTGGGACTTTTAAGTCTTTTGTTGATGGATATCATTTGACTAGTTCAAATGATGATTTCACTTTGATGTTTTTACTGCAGGTTCTCAGGCAATGTTTGCCTTGAGTCAAGCAAACCTTTTGGCTAATAAAGGGAAGAAGTTTATGTTATCGGGTCATATCTCGAAAGAAAGTAACCAATCTGTAAACTTTCACTGGGCGCCATTTCCCGTTGAGATGACTGGTGCATCGGCTTTTATCCCATCTCCATCGGGTCTGAAGCTCCTTGTAATTCGAAATCCTGAAAATGAATCTCCTACAAAGTTTGAGATATGGAATTCGTCTCAGCTAGAGAAGGAGTTCCATATTCCACAGAAAGTTCATGGCTCTGTATACGTTGATGGATGGTATGACACTTTTGTCTTGGCTGATACGATTTTAAAGACAAGTTCTTTTAGAAGTATATAAATGAGTAAGGCTTATGTATGATGTAGGTTTGAAGGGATCTCTTGGAATTCAGATGAGACTCGTGTTGCCTATATCGCTGAGGAGCCATCTCGTCCGAAGCCTACATTTGATCATCTTGGTTATTACAAGAAAGGGAACTCTTTGGACAAGGATATTGGAAGCTGGAAAGGTGAAGGGGATTGGGAAGAGGAATGGGGAGAAGCATATGCCGGAAAAAGGCAGCCTGCACTGTTTGTTATCGATGTTGACAGGTTTCCATCAATCTTTCCATAAGAAAAGAACAATTACTCGTACTTTTTGTGATGGTTGTTTCTATTTTTCTGTTAACAGTGGAGAGGTTAAGCCAATCAAAGGAATTCCTAGATCGATAAGTGTTGGACAGGTTGTTTGGAGTCCAAACAGTAACGGAACAGCTCAATATTTGGTTTTTGCCGGGTGGTTAGGAGATAAAAGAAAGTTTGGGATTAAGTACTGCTACAACAGACCTTGTGCCATATACGCAATTAAGTTCATATCGGATGAACCAAAGTGAGTTTGTGGCTTCTATAACTACTAAGACATCTTTAATCATTTCTAATTTGCGAAAAATATCTTTATAGAGTTTGTGTTTACATGTGCTCCAGAGATGATGCAAACGAAGTCCCTATTCACAATTTGACCAAGAGCATAAGCAGCGGTTTTTGTCCTCGATTCAGGTTTACATCTCATAAAATTTTTCCTTACTTTTATGTATTTACTAAGAGTATTTGTTGTCCTTGTTACTCTGTTTCTAACTGAGCATTGTTGCACAACTTTTGATAACATTTCCCTTATATGTAGCGGTGTTGATCTGCAATGTTTGTTTTAATTGTGACCTGTTAAAAACTTACTCTAGTCACCATACATTTTTTCCTTCCCTCACAGCAAAGATGGCAAATTTCTTGTGTTTGTATCCGCAAAGAGCGCTGTTGATTCTGGGGCACATTGGGCAACCGAGTCACTTCACAGGATTGACTGGCCAAGTGATGGGAAACTTCCTGAATCAACAAATATCGTTGACGTGGTGAGATTATCCGCTTTTTCTCTCTTTTTATCCCAATAGAGCTACAAAATATTTTGAGTGGACCACTTTTTGTTTGTTAAAAATATATCACTCTTTCTACACAAACATGTTTTGTTTCTAGAGGAATAAGATATAGCAATGAAATTGATATATCTGTTATATGTTATTTGATAGTATTCAAATATATCTTATAATGCAGATTCAAGTTGTGAATTGTCCTAATGACGGTTGTTTCCCTGGGCTCTATGCTACTGGCCTTCTGAGTGATCCGTGGCTGTCAGATGGACATAGCCTTATGTTGTCTACCTACTGGCGCAGTTGTCGAGTTATACTCAGCGTAAATTTGCTAAGGTGACTGATGAATTAATATGGAAAGTTTCAGAATTTCCTCCTGCTGCTGTGCTAACTGATGAATATATCTTGAGAATATTACAGCGGTGAAGTGTCACGTGCCAGCCCTAGTGATTCAGATTATTCGTGGACCACTTTTGCGCTAGATGGTGATAATATTGTTGCCGGTAAAATCTCTAAGCTAGTTCTTAATCTCAGTTATTAACTGTCACAATATCATCTTAAATACACACCAGACTTGAAACAACATTATATTTTCTTTCTCTGAGTAGTGTCTAGCAGTCCGGTGAGTGTTCCTGAAATTAATTATGGAAAGAAAGTTCTCGATTCAGCTGGGAAGCCTTCATGGCAGTGGTCGAATATCCAAAGCCCGATCAGATGCCCTGAGAAGGTAAAAGCATATATTGCTAGACTGTTTTGATTCAAATGATGTTAGACTTTTTCCTTACCTATTTGTTTTAATTGCGGCAGGTTATGTCAGAGCTGTCATCTCTGCAGTTTAAATTTCTAAAAGTACCGATTAGTGATGTTTCTGAAGGTCTTGCCGAAGGTACTTTACACTTAATTTTGATTTTGATAAAAAAAACTATCTATTTCCTAGACTTTGGCACTGAATACTCTGTTATTTTTCATGGCAGGGGCCAAAAAACCTTTTGAAGCTATATATGTATCGTCCTCCAAGTCTAAGGAGAGTGGGAAATGTGATCCGTTAATTGCGGTCCTTCATGGAGGTCCTCATTCTATTTCACCATGCAGCTTCTCCAGGAATATGGCCTATCTCTCCTCAATTGGATACAGTCAGCTGATTGTAAATTACAGGTTACTTACGAGCATACAGCTCTGAATTTCACTAGTTCATCAACCTTTTAGAGATCCTAACGTGACATTGGTGACTCATTTGAATTGAAGGGGTTCACTGGGATTTGGAGAAGATGCTTTGCAGTCTCTACCTGGAAAAGTTGGATCGCAGGTATTTAATATATGGGCCTGTAATTTCATTTTTCTTCTTTTTGACCTGCATTCTGCTTAATTGATAAGCTTCTCTGACGCAGGACGTGAAAGATGTGCTCGCGGCTGTAGATTATGCCATTGAAATGGGACTTGCAGACCCATCTAAAATAACTGTGCTAGGTGGTTCTCATGGTGGGTTTTTGACCACTCACTTGATTGGCCAGGTACTGTAGTTACTTACTTCTGAATTGATGGCACTGGATTAGAAATCATCATCCTTATACCAAACTTTTTCTGTAGGCGCCGAATAAATTTGTGGCAGCAGCTGCAAGGAATCCCGTATGCAACATAGCATCAATGGTTGGGATTACAGACATACCTGATTGGTGTTTCTTTGAAGCCTATGGGGACCAGAATCATTATACAGAAGCCCCCTCATCCGAAGATCTTTCTCGGTTTCATCAAATATCTCCTATAGCACACATATCAAAGGTCAAACCATCCTTGTTTATCCGTTTCCTCAGGACATTTGGAAACATTGAAATAATTCTTCTTCTGTATTTACTTCTACAGGTGAAAACACCCACTTTGTTTCTTTTGGGAAGTCAGGATCTCCGTGTTCCCATATCAAACGGATTTCAAGTAAGTTGCAAGAATCTGAAATTTGTTCAAGTTTGCAGAATCAGAACTCATTGGTAATGGTGTTTAATCTGCGGTATTCTTGATTTGTATAGTATGCGAGGGCGTTGAAGGAGAAAGGAGTTGAGGTTAAAGTTCTTGCTTTTCCTAATGACAATCATCCCCTAGACAGGTAAACACCGCAAAGCCTACCATTATTGTTTTCATAGTTTTGAATTTTCTAACATGTTTTTTGCGTCTTGTGATTGTTTATGCAGACCACAGACGGATTATGAAAGCTTTCTCAACATTGCTGTCTGGTTCAACAAGTACTGCAAGATGTGAACTACTGATTTTTCGAATACTGAGTTTGTTTTCTTATAAAGTGGAGTGAATAAGAAACGAAAGTTTAAAGAATAATCATTTGGTTCACCATCTTCGATTGCTTGCAAAAAAAGACTGCGACTTTCTTGTACTTCTGTTTGTGTCATAAACGTTTTGAAAATAAAGTGGTTTAAGATGTTCTTTTATGGAAATAAAAAACATTGAGGGGAAAAAATGAAAGGGTAAACAAATTAAGGCTCGATTGGTTTGCGGAAGCGGAAGGTTGCGGTTATTAGTGGTATTGAACTGACTACTATAGCAGCCGGAAGCGGATGTAATTGTATGATATTTTGCTTGGATGTCACCAATGTGTCATAACAATTAAATTGAAAAAATATCAAAATAAAAACAATGTTTAAAATCTATAAAAACACCTAAAGCATATTATTGTAGTTCAAAAATCAAACATGTAATGCTTTTTTTTTTTTTTTTCGTCACATGTAATGCTTTTTTTTGTCAACAAAATGTAATGGTTTCATCTTTGAAAATTTTATTAAGAAATGTGACGAAATACAAAAAATGTGTTCCAAGTTGCGGAGTTTTCAGATTGATCTTATAAATATTGTAATGTTTCTTCAATGAATCTAAACATTTTTTTTGCGGGTTTCCAACTCAAATGAACTCCAAATCGATTTTATGTGTTTGTATAAATATATTTTACAAGTACAATACTTTTTAAAATATTAATATGTGTTTGATTTAGTAATCAATTTGATATCAATATAGATGAGAGTGGAGATATATTCTGTTAGTTTTAATGTTTTAGATCAATAACATGCATTATGTTGGCTTAAATTCGATGGTTTAAACGCTCCAAAACATAAATATTTTATTATTTAAAATATTATAAATTGACACATAACGGTTTAAAAGTTTGATATTAAACTAACAAATTTACGCGGGAAAACCAATCAAGCTCTTTAGATATATTGTCAATTTTAGATAAGAATTAAACGAACAAATTTACGCGGGAAAACCAATCAAGCTCTTAGATATATTGGCAATTTTAGCTAGGAAAAAGTCATATTTGAAGTTTGATATTATATGTACAATTCTAAGCAAAAAAATCCAATCAAGATTCCAATTAATATCTTGACTATTTTACGCCGGCAAAAAAATTCCTATGTCACTTTTGTATCAAAAGTAAGAAGAGAGGTTGATGCTCAAGCTCAAGTGACATAAAGTGAATCCACTAGTCTTCATAATTTTACAAAACTGAACCTTGAGAGCAAAGCTAAAGTCATCTTGAGATATATACACAATTAAAAAACAAAGAAGCAACTTCTAGATGACGTCAATTGTGCCATGAGAGCACAATCTCCTCAAACTCTACAATTAGCTCCGACCAATGAGTCTCCTCCTCCTCCTCTTCACCCTCCGCCACCTTCACCTCCGCCACAACTAACCCTTCTGCCAGCTCCACCACCTCAACCACCACCGCGGTTCTTCCTTTTCCCAATCCTACCACCCTCGCTTCTTCTTTCTTCTCCACTCTAAACCCTAACTTTTCCCCTATCGTCTCTGCCTTCTCCACCACTCTTTCCGCCGACACTCTCGCCGTAAACCTCTTCTCTTTCCTCTTCCTCCTCTCAAACAACCCCGAAAGATCCAATCCGGATGACAACGAGATCAAATCAAACGCTGTAATCGCATTGCTCGACTTCGCTTCTTTCTCAAGAAACCGATCCAAGTCAAACACACTAGTCTGAAATTCCGAAATCTCTAAAGATTTTTGAAACCAAACCGTTCCAGTCACAGCTTCTATACTCATCCTCGTCTCCGGATTCGGATCAAGCAACTTATAGATTATAGATCGAGCCGGTTTCGAGATCCAGCTCGGAAACCGGTAATCTCTTTTGTGAATCTTCCTATACATAGAGACAATGTTGGAATCATCGAAAGGAACGTAACCAGCAAGAAGAACAAAGAGAAACACACCACACGACCACGCATCAGCTTTAGCACCGTCGTAACCTCTCTGAGCAATTACTTCCGGCGCTGTATAAGCCGGTGTGCCACATGCCGTGTGAAGCAATCCGTCACTATTACGATGCTCCGGTAAAGCGGATAAACCAAAGTCGGAGACCTTGAGGTTTCCTTGCTTATCAAGGAGGAGATTTTGTGGCTTCACGTCACGATGAGCGATTCCGTCGCGGTGGCAGAAACTGAGCGCGGAGGCGAGTTGTTGGAAATAACGACGCGCCGCCGATTCGTTAAGGCGACCGAATCGGATGAGTTTGGAGAAAAGCTCTCCTCCGGCGGCGTATTCGACGACGAGGTAGATCTTGGATTTAGTAGCCATGACTTCGTGGATTTTGAGGACGTTTGGGTGGTGGTGGAGACGACGCATCGCTTCGATCTCTCGGATGATTCTCGGCTCCATACCGGAATCGATTGTTTTCTTCTTATCGATGATTTTGATAGCTACGAGTTCGCCGGTGGAGATTGAACGAGCTACATGGACTTTGGCGAAGCTTCCGCTTCCTAGTCGTCGACCGAGTTCGTATTTACCGAGAAGAACTGTCCCTGAGGGGTTTTCCGGTGATTTTGGATTTGGAGATTCCATAGTTTGTGGTGGTTGTTGCGGCGGAGATGGTACCGGAGATTTTTTTAATGAGGGCTTCAGGGACGGTTAGATTATGGTGACTGTTTTTTTCTTTTTATAGGGAAAGCAAAAAAAAAGCAAAAATCACTTTAATTTGTTTGTTTCCGAAACTGCCCTTCCTTTGTTTTTTTCTGTCTGGTATTTGATTATTAATATATAAGCGTATTTGTAGGACGTTGAGAATATCGGGAAAAGAAAAAAAAAAAGTAGAAACGAACGTTGAGATTTCTATTTAAATATCACGCTTGATTTTTTTTTTTTCTTTGGTACAAAATATCACGCTTGATTTCTATTTAACTTAAGACGTTAAAATAAGATAATTAAAGTTCATAAGTAACAAGTAACAACGATATAATGAGTTTTTTTTTTCTTTTAGTGAGAACGTTAATTAATAACTTCAATTATAACAGTTTTTGTATATAATTAAGCGTATGCATTGGGTGAATGGTATTGCATTAGTTATGTATATGAAAATTTTCCAAAAATATTATTCTCTTTATTTCATATTATAGGATGTTTTAGACTTTTGTTTTTGTTTCACAATATATGATATTTTGAAGAAACAATTCAAGTTTCTATACAAATAGGAAAATGTTAGAGATGTACTTCCTGTAAATATAGAGTTATCAAATATATATATATATATATATACTTTTGTAATGTCTGCGATAATTATAATAATAAAATATATGTTTACTTACATTATTGATTCATGTATATTATAAATATTATGCCGTTGCCGACGGTGAACATATATAACATAAATATATGCAACATCAGTAGTTCTTTCATTAGTTTTTTTCGCTAATCCCCACGTGAAGAAATTTGTCATAAAACTGTTTACTATACAGTCTGATAAGATATAAAATTGTTATCCTTCCATGATACAATATTACAATTATTATCATCAATGTCTAGTTTTACTTCTAAAGTCTAACAAAGTAATAGAAGGGTGAATTAGCGCAGAGAAAAAATTAGGTAAAAGACGTTAGTAAAAATCGTCAGAGACAAACTGAAAAAAAAGAATATGAATGGGTCTGAAATTCCATTTAATAACGAAAATACTAGAGTTGTGTTTGGGTATGCGCGTGGTGAAGGTTGATGCCTCTTAAGGGAGTCGAAGGAACAATCTGCAAATAATAAATGCTTTCAGTTGAACTGACATTGCCGCGTAGACAAAAAAAATGAAATGATCGTTAATAAATGCAACAGATCTTAAATTGAACTAACTCAAATTTGAATATAGACAACTAACATAGTTGTATGGACACTCATCTTTTAAATTTTTTAAACAATTAACCTAGTTGCATAGACACCCAATAACTTTTTTACACGATTTTGATATTTGTATACAGATAAACATATACATAGAGCGTTAGAAATAATTATGGTATTAAATAGTGCGGTCTATGACCGTTAAATATTGCATCATATACCATGTACGTGTTTACTTATATATAAATGCTAATAATGGTCGTTAAACAATAACTGACTAATGGTCAATGATAATTTCGTTTGAAATAGTAAACGGCCATTAACGACATATTTTTTTATTTATTTATTTAGTTTTCAAAATTTAACTGAACCCTAAAAATTAGAAAAATTGTATTTTAGGATTCGTAATTAAGATTTTTATTTTTTCTATTGTAAGTAACACGTGTGAACTTCGAAAACTATATAGATGGAAACACATGTCGTTAAAGGCCGTTTACCGTTAGTCAACCAATGATCAGATTTAAATTTGACGACTTGAAGTTTTCTTTAAGAAAAAATAATTAGTTGGAAGTTTTATTTGGGAACGGAAAAATTTGGAATTTTAATTGGGATTTTTTTTTAATTTGAAAATTTTATATAGTAACTAAAAAAGTTAAAGATTATAGTTGGGAAAATATTTCAACTTGGAGGTTTTTTTTCGGATTTTCCTTAAATCATACTCCCTCCGTATTTTAATAATTGTCGTTTTAGAATTTTTATTTTTTTGAATTAGATGTCGTTTTCAAATTTCAATGCAAAATTTCTTACTTTTTAATAAAATTTCTAAAACGACAATTATTAAAATACGGAGGGAGTATAGTTTTTTTAAAAAAATTTAAAATGGTTTATTGTTCTATACGTGAAGAACAATACTCAAAGTTGACAAATATATACATTCAATTGTAAACTTATCTTTTAAAAGCAAAATACTCACAATTTATTGATCTTTTTACAAATCGTTCATCGAGTTTCGTCGACGAATACAACTAGATACGGGGAATAAAAGCTGGTTTAAACGATTGGAAGACTTTCAAATTTGCTGGATTCCTCATAGTTTCAATAAAGCTGCAAATGAATTTGCAAAAAGTTTGATTCCAAATGGAAAAGCATGATTCTCATAGTCATTTAATTTGTACCCAGCTGTATTTCTTCCCATCTTTATCAGACTCTTGTAATTTTTTAAGAATAGATTGTAGAATAACTACAAGGAGAAAAATATCTCCTTGTCATTGACTCATTGTTAATCATGCTTTATAGAAAAATATCAATCGGTCCTCATCATTGTGACCTATCTCCTCAAGATATTCTCTAGTACATGCACTTCGCAGTCAAGATTTTGAACCTGAAAGGTTAAAAACACTTCATAGATATCATCAATTTTATCTTAATCACTCAAATAATAAATAATACTATAATCTTAAGACTTTTGTACAAAGGGTATTTTAGTCATTCAATGGTCAAATTAAAACTGACCATTTGGTGAAGGCTCTCTCACTCCCGCCCCTTCCTCGTGAGCAGCCTCAGGCTCACACCAATTCACCAACATGAGAAAAACTGTTTCCAGAAAACAACATCTACCGTCAAGATTGTTTGGTGCTTGTCGTGAGTCAGATCAACGGCTCTCATTACGCCACGCCATCATGGATTCAAGACTCAATGTAACGGGAAATTAAAGTAGGCAACGAAGAAGGCATGCAAATTGACGTTTTAATTATTCTTTTTTTAGTGACTTTGGATTTTTTCTCCCACTAAAGAATTGGCATATTCGTCTTAACTACACCGCACTAATATAAGTACATATGTAAAGAACTATTTCAACATGAAAAAAGTTTTCTCAAAATATCTCAGAAATTGTATTATATATTGATAGTGGAAGTAATAGTTTTATTTGAGTTTATACAAATGTTTTATGCGAGAGGGTGAGTTGGTCAAATTCATTTTGTCATTTTATAACTTCTAATTGGATGCAGATGATTGAATATAGGTAAATAGTATAAGAGATAGTAGTAGTAGTGACATTTGACAAGTGAAAACCTATAAGAGTATAAGGAGTTATGTAGAATATTATTCTACTAGGTAATGTTTCATGCTTTGTGTTAGCATGTTTGATCAACTTAACTAGCTATTTGTTTCAGTATTTCCGTTGTATTACCATCTAAATTTAAACTTTATGTAATGCATGTTACTGAATATTGACAAAAAAAAAACTAATAAAATTCGATATAATGAATTAGGCGGAGCATATGATTACTTGAAAGATTAAGAACCATTTTAAAATCTTGTTTCTATCAAGGCATTGTTGTTGTATGGTGTGTGTTGTTGTCCTATATCAAATCATGTAGGTGGAGAAGGTGAAACGTAAGGCGCCAATGAAATGGTGTGTCCGACATATACGTTATAACATATGATTTGTCAATAAAACAATCACTAGATAACAACCCGCACGATGTGCGGGATGAAGCGATTCTTGTTAAATTATTATGATTAAAATTATTATCCGGGATCCAAGACCCGTTTGTGTAAAACGAAACATGTTACAAATTTTTTTTTGTTTTATTCAAATTTGGGACTATTTCATATAAGAATATGTTTTACCCGTGAAATATTTGAACCTTGAATAAAACTTCAACGTGATAAAAAAGTATTGATGAAATGTTACCATTTATGGCAATATGTCTTTCCGTATGTTTTAAAGATTTCGAGATTTTGTAGTATAAAAAGAATTTTTTTTTTTTTTAATAAGTATAAGAAATCCAAAATTTAGCAAAGATGAGATTTGATAGTTTTCAAGCTAAGATTTTGTAGTGTTCCAAATCTACGATTCTTAGATTATGAATGGATTATTTACGAAATTGTTATAATGTGGCCATATTTTGGTTTATATACAAATGTGGTTATAATGTTTTTCTTCGAAAAGTTTGAATTCCTCCAAAAAATAGCATTTTAAGTATTCGTAACATATATAGAAATGAGATTATCTTATTTATTTAAGTAAAAAAATTATGAAAGATGTAAAGATTTTGTAGTTTTGAATTTGAGATTCTTGAACCAAATGTATATATTTTATCATGTAAATATAAACATAAATATAAATATAAATAAAAAGATTGTTTACCCATCCCCTAAAATTTTTTATATAAATGTATATAAAAAATATAAATATAAAAATATAGTAATATAAGATAAACAAAAAGTGTATGTTTTTAATTATTAATGGGATATATAGATGTATGAGACTAATGGCAAATTCTGTAAATAGTCTAATAAATCTTGGGTAATTATCTAAATAGAAGCCAAATCATTGTGAGAGCGACACATCAGCGTGGCAATCTTGTTAATAACACATGATGGTAAGTTTTTTTTTAAAAAATGTTTCTCTATTAATATATAGGGTATAAAATATAGTAATATAAGATAAACAAAAAGTGTATGTTTTTAATTATTAATGGGGGATATATAGATGTATGAGACTAATGGCAAATTCTGTAAATAGTCTAATAAATCTTGGGTAATTATCTAAATAGAAGCCAAATCATTGTGAGAGCGACACATCAGCGTGGCAATCTTGTTAATAACACATGATGATAAAGTTTTTTTTAAAAAATGTTTCTCTATTAATATATAGGGGATATAATAAAATTTGTGATTATAATTTCATAAGACAAGTTAGGCGAGGCTGTTCATGGACATTTGGACATCTGGAGATCGCAACCCGAAAGTTGGGCTGTTCATTTAATTGGTGGGACGCCATTTAATCATATGTCTTAAATGGAAT